ATACTCTTCTCCAGCACCACAGCTCAAAGGCATCAATTCTCCTTCTATCCTCCCTAGTCATTGTCCAACTCTCTGATGCATAACATGTTATTGCAAAGTATTAACATTTGTGAATTTTCTATGACTTTTTAAAAATTTGGTATTTTGAAGAGTATTTCTGTTATGAGGTAAGAAAATTTTCAGATTGTTCCACCTATGACGGTGGATTATTTCTTGGTTTTGCCAAATATTTTAAGTTAAATTGAACTTAGAAAATTTTATCTCTGAAAAGGCTCCAGATCATAGTTTCTATGAATGGAAATATTTGTTTAGTGTTAACTGGCTCTTTTAATTTAACCACAAATTAAGATTGATTTGCCATTAAAATGAAACAAAAATAAGACTTTGAGTTTTCCTTTGAAGTTTTTAAAAATAGATTACTACTTATTATGTGAAAATCTATTTATACCATTTTTAACACAGGTTGAAAATCCCTGTCTTGAAGTCCCAAAACATAGTTTTCAGTTCAGTTCATGTGTGAAGTGAATAAATTAATAAGAAATTCCTTAAAGAGTGGTTTACTCAATATTCTTCATATTACCTAAAATAAATTATTAACCGAGTTAAGTGTAAGATATTATTTTATTTTTCACTTAATGAAGATAACTTTCAACTATTATGGCTCTTCAAGAGAGAGAAGAAATTATTTCATCATGGGTTATAACTGAATTGTAGATTCAAGTATGTCTTTTCCTTTTTTTCTAGGATGAAAGCCAGGATAAAATCGACATCCCCTTCCTGTCACAGCCTTTAGTCTATGCTCCTTTTGACCCCACCCTTTGCACTGTCTTTCCACAAAATGTCCTGTGTCTTTTTCAGTCTACTCTGACGCTGCCTTTTCTTAATCCTGAAATAATGGAATTCCCCGAATCTAAAGAAACAGCCTTTCCTACACCTAAAGTGATGCCTTTCCCTCAGTCTCCACTGGTGAGAGTTTTTGACCCCCTAAATTTCAATCATCTTGAAAATGTGCACTTTCCTTTAACTCTGCAGCAATTACCGCACCAACTCCCTCAGCCTCTTCCCCAGATTCCTGAGCTTTTCCCTTTCTCCCTGCTGTCTTCTTTTCCACCCAAAGGCCTGCATACTTCCCATAATATGTGGCCCTACATCGTAAGAGATGTGCCCTTTGGAAATTTCCCAATGCCCCATGAGCTTCAACTTGACCCAATCCGTCAGTTTCAACCAATGACTCAACCATTTGCTCCACTTCATAAGCCTGTGGCTGTAAGTGTGAATTTATCCTATTAATTGTGTATCTATGAAGTGAAAACTCCAGAATTTGAAAAAAAAATACACTGATAAAAAGATCAAAAACTACGAAGTTTAATGTTATAATTTTCAACAAACTTACACAATGGAATCAATTAAACATTTTCTCCCAGGAAAAAGTTCCAATGCTTAAACCTATCCAAAGAGTTGTTGTTATATGCTGTGAAGTCCACTATGACTGAAAGCAGCCCTATGAACAGCAGCCCTGAACTTCACCCTATTCTGAGCCAATTTCAGATCTCTAACATACTAACCCCATTGCAACAGTCACTGTGTCAATTTGTGTCATCTAGGGTAATCCCCTCTTGCTCTGACCTTCTATCCTTTCAATCATGATGTCCTTCTCCAAGGATTGGGCCCTCCTGGCAACATGTCCAAACAATATGAGACAAAATCTATAAAGATTCTAACACAATTCTGATTTTTCGAAAGAAAGAGATATAGGGTTAGGATGAAATACATGCAAGAATTCTGATTTCATAATTTTGTTGAGAATTCTTAATTAGACTAAGAAAATCTAGGCTTCTTGAAGCCAGAATTAAAGACTCTGATTTGTGTTATAATAAAGACAATTTCATTCCTGTACTTTTACTTTTTGATTGTATACATATATTGTTCATATGTCTTAGCCTCCTGTCCTTGATATGTGTGTTGTTGTTGTTGTTGTTGTTAAATGCCGTTGAGTCAAGCATGACTCATAACAACCCTATGAACAAAAGACCTGAAACCTAGCTTGTAACTATTGTAGTTTCTCTACATTCATAGAGTTTTCAGAAGTATGTTGTTTAGGAAGTGGATTCCACTTCTGCTTCCAAGCCTGTCTCAATCTGCGAGTTCCACCAAACACTGTTCATGATGAGTAACCGTAATAGGATTTGCCACACCAGTGGCACAGAGCTCAACATCACAGCAACCCCAAGCTACTTCAGTACAACAAATTGACAGACCAGTGCTGCAACACTTAGGAGAATGTTCATCCCAAACACAATTGTGATATGTATACATATGCTTACACACACTTTACTCAAAATCTTACATCAAGTATTCTTGCCAATACATGAATTGTGTATTTATGTTAATTATATTTGTTTACTTTTAAGGTCTAAGAAAATTTAAAGTCAATGCCCCTTATTTCTGGTAAGTTTTGGGACTTTGGCAAGGAAACTGATCATTTCTATGTTGTTATTATGTGCCCTCAGTCATAGTCAATACCCCAGTAGCTTTTCAGAGGCTATAAACTAGAAGATAAGAGATTGCCTATCTTTGTCTCTCAGAGAAAGCAGTGGATTTGAACCGAGAGCATTTGGATTGAAAGCACAATTCCTATACATTAAGCCATAAAAATTCCCTAATTGTACTTGTAGTTAATATGTATTCTCCGATTTTAAATTTCTTTGGTCAGCTCAAGATCATGGCAAATTTCATCAATATACTAACTTATATATTTATTAATTATAAATGCATCACAACAGTTTACTACTATTTCCTGAACTAATTATAGATCTTAAGCATTTCAAAGGAGCAGCATGGTTTAACCCTCTCTAGGTTGAACCTGTTTTCTTAGCAATCCATGATAGATTCAATATTCTTCCCCAACACCACAGCTCAAAGATATCAGTTTTCCTTCTAGTCTTTATCTAACTTTCTGAGCATAGTAGGTATTGTAATTAAATTTCTCTGGTAAAGTATTATAAATTAATATTACATTTTCTTTCTATTCCACAGAATTGACTACAATTGGAAACAGGATGTATTTTCCTTGTATCGTGTTACCAAAAGTGAATTTACATGAACAAAGCTAAATTTTACTTCTTTATTTATTTTGTATATTGTATGGGATTAAGTGATTTTAATTTTACTCATACATTCTTTACACATTTCAAATTCTGTTTCAATTACTGCTTTGGAAGTTAAATTTTTATTTGGCAACAGTATAAACCTCAAATAGTTTTGCGTATTGTGCTTATTATAATTTCTTTAAACTGTATTTCTTTCCTAGTCATTTTAATAAATCAATCCTGTGGGCATATTTATATTGTCTTGTCATGATTGTAATTTTCCAAAATAAATTATTTCTTTTACAGTAATTAGGTTATTTGTATTAAAAGGAAATATAGAATGATGCTTTGATATTGAATCCATATATAATTGGTGGATATGAAAAAAAAACAAAGGAACATTCAGAGTGATCATATATGCCAGGTTACTTTATGAAGTATTCATACATATTTAGCTGTGGCTTTTATCTCTAGGGTTCTTCTGGCTATACCTTGCCTCAGTCTTGTTACAGCAATGTCATAGTATTTTCACAATCTCTCTACCACCATTGCCATCTCCCTCACCATATCAAAAATGCTTTCTAATATTGGTCTTACAGCTGTTAACCACTTACAATACCATGTGTCCACAGTTAGGTAGCTGGAGACCATTCCTAAACAATTATTAGAAAAGGCAATTTGTAAAGGCTCTGACAAGCCAGAAACTGACTTTGTTGGAGTTGTAATGAACCACATAGTTGTGTGGCAAAATTGATAATGAAATTAAAGAAATATTTCAATATGATAAGACCCATGTTTTCTCTCTTTGCTAACAATTCTCAAAGCAATCTAGGATTTTTTTTTAATTTTTGAGACAATTATTTTGAAAGTTAATTTAGGTTGTTGTTGGAAAAAGTATGCCCAGAGTACTTCTTGGAGGCAAGGATGTCAAACCTTTGTTTCACATACTTTGGATGTACTGCTAGAAGGTATTCCATGGAGGGCATCATGTTTGGTAAAGTGGAGGGCCAGCAAAAGAGAGGATGACCCTCAACAAAGTAGATTGACACAGTGACTGCAGCAAAGGGCTCAAGTGTGTCAAAGATTGTGATGATTGCACAGGATAGGAGAGGGTTCAGATACGGTATTCATAAAGTCACTGAGAGTCATATTCATAGTAACAGCACCTAACAAACCTAACAGAGTGACAACACACTTTACAAAATTGCCAAACAATTTTACAAGAACATTTAGTTTGTTCCATAAAGGAGTCATTACACATTGGTTTTATTTTGCTTTGCAAGCAACTGAAAATATTGAAACAAAACACTTTAAAAATATACTACCAATACTTTTCAGCTTTACTCTAATGAAACAAAGCTTGTCAATAGAATGATAATGAAATTTAGTTTCCTGAGGAAAAAACAAACAAAAATATTTCAAAGTTCAAATGTTGTTTAAGATTTAATCATGAAATTCTATGATTATGGTTTGGTTTTCTTAATATTTAGAAAGAAAACATTTTATTTAAAAATATGAACTTTTTCTTTTATACTGGTTTGCTCACAAATTTCATATCCACTTTTTCACACCAGATCTTGCCCATTTCCTTGACCCACCTCATCCTCCACCAATCAAATTGTGTGATTCTATGATTATACCTTTCACCCTCAGTCCTGTCCTCCCATCTCTCCCCCTTAAGTCTCCATACACATTTTACTAATTATCTATTTCTACAATAATGGTTTTATACTGTATTTGTCCTTAGGGACTGAACTACTTCATATAGCATAATGCTCTCCAGTACCTCCCAAGTTAGGTAGTGATTTGCAAAATAATTGCTCCTGCATGTGGTGTGGTATTCCATCATGTGAATGTACCATAATTTCTCAATCCATTCTATTGTACTTGGACATTTGAACTGTTTCTTTTTTCTTGCATTGGTGAATGATGCTACTATGTACCTTGGCTTACAAGTCTCTGTTGCCTCAGTTCTCATTTTCTCAGGGTATATTCCAAGCAGTAGAATAGCTGGCTCATATGAAATTTCTATGTTCAACTTTCTGGCAAAATGCCCAGCTTCCTTCCAGAGTAATTGTGCCATTTTACAATTCCACCAACAATGTATAAGACTTTCTATCTCACCACATCTCCTCCAACATTTATACTTGCTGTTCTGTTAAAATTTGCCACTGCTACTGATGTAAGATGGTATCTCATTGTGGTTTTGATTTGCATCACTCTTAGTGCTAGTGATTTTGAGCATTTATTCATGTATCTGTTGGCCATTCAAATATCTTCCTCTATGAAAATTCTTTCCTGTCTTTTGCCCATTTTGTAATAATGTGTTATCAGT